GCTGTTCATATTGCCCATGCTTGGGCTGATGTATGGTATCGATGCCAGGTTTCTCTTGCCATAGCTGTAATTGTAACTTTTGTGAATGCTTCTCTCATTTGCATCCCTTAATTATGGGTTAAGTTTTTTTTTTTTAATGCTTCCGAAGGACCTATTATGTTGTTCCTTGATTTCGTTGAATCTCCTAAAAGGGTTATGAATATGGGTCTGTTTATCTGTACACAAATGAACAGACTTTTGTCTGTTCTTGGTATGTATTATTTTTAATCTTTAATTTCTATCTTTATCAATCTGGTGATCGATACAAATGTGAGAATCGTTGTTGTTATTGTTAGTGCAAGAGTGTATGGGCAGATGCTTCTTCTGATATGTATGAAGTATTTTTGTCATAGAATTTCTTAAGAATTGAACTATTTCCACAGTCAATAGTTTCATGATTCAAGATTTTCTGTTTCTCTTTTACTTAGCAATCTCGAGAGAGTGGTGTAATTTCTGTTCTTTCGGCCCAGTCCCAGTTTCATAAAAGCTTTTAAGGCATTGAAAATTTTAAAATTTTAATTGTGATTGTCTCATTCTCAAATTTTCGCTTTCTTTTCTATATCTGAAAGGCGCTTAAATGTTGATTGAAGCTACCACTTAATGATGTTGTTTGTGTTGTGCAGATCACTACTATAGATGAAGCAAAACGATTTTACCCTCTTTTTGGGCTCGGGGCGAATGTTGCTCTGATTTTCTCAGGCCGGACAGTGAAGTACTTCTCTAATTTGAGGAAAAACTTGGGTCCTGGTGTTGATGGTTGGGCCATCTCGCTCAAAGGAATGATGAGCATCGTGGTGCTGATGGGACTTGCTATCTGTTTGTGTTACTGGTGGGTAAATAGTTCTGTTCCTCTACCTACACGCAGTAAGAAGAAGAAGGTAATCTTCTCAAAGGATACTATTTGAATTTTTATTATAAAATTGAACTATAGTATACCTATAAAAATTACCGGATCCTTTAATTTGGTACTGGATATTTTTTTTCATCAGCTACTCTGCAATTCTTTTTAACATGGCACACTTTAATTAAGGAACATGCACAAAAAATGTGACGAGACATCATCTTACTAGCTATATACTTGCCATGTTTTATTTTGTTGATCTCTAGCCTATGTCGACCTGCTCATTCAATGCTGATTAGGATAGGCTTACCTTATTATTTTGTTAACAAGGATTTTTCGAAAAAAAAAAAAAAATTTATTCAAGGTGTTGGAAAGCTGTATTTTGTAGCTCATATAAAACAAACAAAAAGGTCATATTACTTGACGGCACCTTGTGTATAAAACTGAAGGGTGTCAAAACTTCCTTACAAATTATTTAAAGCCACCATGCAGAAGTGAGATGCCTGTTCTGTCAATTTTTTCTCTTCATCAAGAAATGTACAACCATATTAATTTTATAACTTGGAAAGGGTCATGTGCATATTCTGGTACGAATACTATTTTCACTTATAGACTGATGAGATTCAAGTTACAAGCATATACTTTGAGAACTCAGCATGGTAATTAATTATATAGGATAACAAGGTTCCCTTTCTGAAAATCAATGTGCAGGAAAAGCCAAAGATGGGCACAATGGAGAGCTTGAAATTCCTCGTGTCCTCCAGATATATTCGAGATCTTGCGACTTTGGTGGTTGCATATGGTATTAGCATCAACCTTGTAGAGGTTACGTGGAAATCAAAGCTAAAGGCACAGGTAAACTTGATCTGATCCTGTCCTTGTCCTCTTTTGTCTCTGAGCTTGTTGATTACTGATTCTCTTTCCTCTCCTCTCTGTCATTCCAGTTCCCCAGCCCGAATGAGTACTCTGCCTTTATGGGTGACTTTTCAACAGCAACAGGAGTAGCAACTTTCACGATGATGCTTCTAAGTCAATTTATATTTGACAAATATGGATGGGGAGTTGCAGCCACAATTACACCTACAGTCCTGCTTCTAACAGGAGTTGGTTTCTTCTCTTTGATTTTGTTTGGGGGTCCTCTTGCACCTACCCTTGCACAGTTTGGGATGACTCCTCTTCTTGCTGCTGTATATGTTGGTGCCTTGCAAAACATTTTCAGCAAGAGCGCCAAGTACAGTTTGTTTGATCCATGCAAAGAAATGGCCTATATTCCATTGGATGAGGACACTAAGGTATGAACCTTTTACTTGTTATAGATGCTTTTGAAGTTTAGAGTAGTAATCTACTGCATTCATTCTGAGAAAGTTTTGATGCAGAATATGAGAAATTCAATTTAAAAATGGCTTGATGTTCAGTGCTAATTTCACTTCTCCAATCTGTGCTGTAGGTCAAAGGGAAGGCAGCCATTGATGTTGTCTGCAATCCGTTGGGGAAGTCCGGAGGAGCTCTCATTCAACAGTTTATGATCTTAACTTTTGGGTCACTTGCCAATTCAACTCCTTACCTCGGAGGAGTACTTCTGGTGATCGTGATTGCATGGTTAGCCGCAGCCAAGTCTCTGGATACCCAGTTTACTGCTCTGCGCCAGGAAGAAGAGCTTGAGAAGGAGATGGAAAGAGCTGCTGTGAAGATCCCTGTAGTTTCTCAAGAAGGTGGAAACGGCTCTTTTCCAAGTGGCAATGCACTCAATCCAACAACAGGTGACTCGACCAGCAGTTCATCTGAACCCTCAACTCCGCGTAAGATCTAGTATATTTCTTCCATCCTCTGTTGTGGCATGCTGGAAGAATAAGCGAACTCAATGAGAAAGCTCTAGTAGGTGAATTTTTTTGTTGTAGGATTTTATTTATAGAAAAAGAATAATCGTTAAAAGGTAGTATGCATCTTGCTGTTCTTTAAGTCCAGTTTTTCCTTGACAATGGACTTCATTGTCCGTCCAGTTTTTTAGTCCATGTTGTGGAATTGAAATTGGATTAATATTCATAGAAATCTGTTTTTCATAATAATTTTATTACAGTGAAAATCGTTCATGATGCTTGGCATCATGATTGCTGGCATTTCATGTTTCTAATTGGCTGCCTAGAATTGCTGCTTTATATTGTTTATATGCTTCACCACGGCTACGTTCAATCAGCATTAAATCTGCATTTTGTATGCTGAGGTCTGTTGCCATTGATGGCCAGAAGTAGAATGTTTTTTTTAGAAATAAAAAGTAGAACTCAAATGGGGAGTATTGGTTTATGCTTTTTATGGTATTTAGCCTGTTATGAAAAAGGTTTTTGTATTTATTTTTCACGAAGCTATGTTTAGATGTCATCATTAGCTGGCTGAATTCATAGTGCATCTGGCATGCATAATGTGACTTAAACTAGTTAATTTAGTTAGAGTAATTAGGATCAAGCGAAACACTTTTGAATAATATAATTGCTAGCAATAATGATAATTACCATTTGTCAAGCATCCTTGAAAGTTGGGAACATTTTCAAGTCTCTTAACTCTTATAGCTTGTTAGTAGTCTGGGATGGGATAAGAAAGGAGGAGTAAAGCAAGGCCATGTCAAGGGAAGAGAAGAGAAGGCCTGTCATTTGGATTTTTGGGGGTTAGAAATGAAAGTTGAATAATTTACCTTCATTTCCTCTGGCCCAAAGTCTAGGTTGGTTTTGCCTATGCTTTTGTGCACCAAAGACAAGTGTCAACTTCATATGTTATCGGGCTAATGCAGCCCATTGTCTTAAAGACAAAAAAGGAAACATATATAAAAATCAATTTGATCACGCAGTTGGTCTCGGCCAGCTACAACTACAAAGTTACCAACTGGAGGTGATGTGGACCCGAGCTCCAGTCCTAATCTAGAAAACAAACAAAACCACACGTTCACGTGGTGGTTGTAATATTGTCCGTTTTAATCCAAACTTTTGGCATCATCGTTCATTGCTGTTTCCCGTACGTTATCACTTCCAATCCCAATCTTCCATGCGAGGATCGTACATTTCTGTGCAAAACTTGAACATTTCAATGATCTGAACATGATAATTAGTTTATTGAGAACCCATCAATATTTAAAGGTTTCAATGTTGTCGGTCAAATTAACTGAAATTAAGTGATCACCGATCCGGTCGATATATATGTGGCTCTTTTTGATGCATTCTCGTGATCCTTATAAGATTCAGCCCATTATTTGGCTGCTTCCCACTACACGATGCTTCGTGTTGCTTGCTCGCTCGACAATACTCTCTAGGTGTAAAAGGGAAGTCTGTTTGTAGCTGACAACACAAAACATGCATGGACGGTCTTTTTTACTGTTATTGCATTGCCTATTGCATTTTAAGTACTTCGTAGTAATATTTATGTTTTAATTATCTTCTTTAGAAGAGAAGAAAAGGAAAGGCTGGTATAATTTCGGGATTAAATTGATGACTATATATTAGAAATTATAATGAAAAAAATTCTTTTTCTTATTGGGTTCTCTATAAAAACGTAGTCATACACACAAACAAATTTGAGAAAAATCAATCAATTCAATTCTCTCTCTAAAATTCCTTGAAGATTCTTTTTGCCATTGTATTCTGTGAGAGAGAGAGATTCAGTTTCAAGTCTCTTTCAGCCTAGCGCCCATCCATGCTTGTATCATGATTAATTTTGTTCTCCTCATAAGAGAATAAGCCACGGCGTGTCATTGTAAGGAATATTAGCATTGAAGAGAATTTGTCCTCTCCTCTCTTTCCTTACTCTTTTCTTATCCTTCTTCCTCTTCACCCATTCATTCAACCTCAAACTACCACAGTAAGACAAAGACCTCTAAACTTCTCCGATGTATATTATCCGTTCGTACATTCATCCTCTCTCACAGCAAATGTTCAAGGGCTTTTTCGTCCTGCAGCTGGCCGGGTAATTACATCAATGCATCCAGTGGTGCTAGTATTTATTTCCACCTACAGTACTATAGCTAGCCACAAGTAATTCTGTAACATGAAAACCTCTCATATATTATATAAATTAAAGAGCCACCAACAATATTAGTCCTCCTCAAAATTGCTTGCTTGACTACTCTTCCACCAAAATGAAGAAGACCTCTTTGCCAGAACCAGTCGTTTTCTCAGGATCAAAAACATCCCAATTCGCTGCCGAATGCTGGTTCGACGATGCATGCATCCTTGATATGGACTATTTTGTTAAGACCCTAACTGGCATTAAGGCTCAGGGTGTCCATCCAGACCTTATTGGTTCAATCATAGCCCATTATGCATCAAAGTGGCTACCAGACCTCTCTTGTGACCGCCGTGCCAGTGACAAGGGACTAGCCAACTTTAAAGAGTCCCCGGAGAGTGTCACCGCTTTGTGGATGAAAAAGAGATTTTTCGTCGAAACCCTAGTGGGAATCCTGCCTCCGGAGAAGGATTCCATCTCATGTATCTTCCTCCTACGTCTTCTTCGGATTGCTAACATGGTCGGTGTGGAGCCTACATATATAGCTGAGCTTGAAAAGAGGATTTCATGGCAACTTGACCAAGCTTCATTGAAAGAGCTAATGATACCTTCATTTAGTCACACTTGTGGGACTTTGCTAGATGTTGAGCTAATAATTCGTTTAGTGAGGAGGTTTGCTAATTTAGATGAGGTTGCTAAAAGTGGTGCTGCCTTAATTAAGGTAGCTAAGCTTGTTGATTCTTACCTAGCAGAAGCAGCTGTGGATTCTAAGTTGAATTTATCAGAGTTTGTTGCTCTTGCTGATGCTCTCCCAAGTCACGCCCGTGCCATAGATGATGGTTTATACCGTGCCATTGATACTTATCTCAAAGTAAGTAGTCGGTAAATAAATATTGTGTGTAGTTTTATTTTTTTCTCTAATTAATGCAAATGTGCACTATGCTTTTACTGTTAGCTGGGGGAATAAGTGGTTGGACCAAAAAGGTAAGTCTGTTTCACAAAGGCCAATTAGTAAATGGTCAATCTCAGGTGGTAAGCAGGTTGGGGTCTTGGTTCAAGTTGCAGTTTTTCAATTTACTTCAGTATGAATTTTAAGGGTTAAGGTATTTAGAATGATCATTAATTGTGATATGAATTTACATTGTAAGCATCAATTCAAATGCTAACATGTTTAGTTTATCACATCCATTTGAGTGTAAAAAGTAGTAAGCATAGAGAAATGCTTGCAAAATAGGACACAGAAAGCAGGACTATTAGAAAACAGAAAAGGTTCATACGGGGACCGATCTGGAGGCATATGTGGTTGCTGTTCTGTTACTGGCATAAAATTCTTCATCAGAACAATTCGGTGGTGGGGTGGGGTGGGGTTGTTGCAGGGTAGGAGCAACTCGACATGATCTTTGCCGTTCATTTAGTAACCTAGATTTTACCTGTGCGTGTGGTCTTGCAGCACGTGAAAGGTAGGGACAGTATTGAATTATGTCGGCATTGCTTAGGATCTGTTCTGCAGTGGCATCGATATCTTTCTTTAAGCATCATGAGATCAATATGAACAGCACCAATCATAGTAACCGTTCAATTCACTACTTTCATAAATGATGGATTATCGGATATACGTACAAGAGCATTTTAGTCTGAACAATAACTTTCTAGTATGGTTTTCCCTTGCATCTTCACTATCCTAAGGTACTGAAACATTGCTCTAGTATTTTCGAAGTATATCTTGCGATGATAAATTAATGCTCTTTTCTGATCAGGCGCATCCTGCTGTGTCCAAGCAAGAAAGAAAGGCTCTATTTAGGTTAATTGATAGCCGAAAACTCTCTCCGGAGGCATCACTACATGCTGCCCAAAACGAAAGATTGCCTGTTCGTGCTGTGATCCAAGTCCTCTTCTCTGAGCAAACCAAGCTTAATCGACAAATGGATTGGAGCGGGTCGCTTAGTGGAACTAGAAGCCCCAACTTAGGGTTTGAGGCCCCGGCAAGGTGCCTTTCGAAACGTGAAATGAACGTTCAACAAATGGAGATAAGGAAGCTAAGAGAAGATGTGCTTAGGCTGCAAAGTCAATGCCATGGCATGCAAATGCAAATGGAAAGGATGACGGTGAAAAAGAAAGGGTTTTTTAGATGGAAGAAGTTTGGGATTATTCCTTCAATGAAAAGTAATAATGTTGAGAAGATTGAAGAGAGTACTAACGCAGGAGATCAAGGAGAGGAAGGGTGTGGGATGCAAACTCCTGTGGACTTGAAGACTAAGCTGGTGAGAGGCAAAAGGAAAACTGATCCTGCCAGGTGGAGAAAATCAATGTCTTGATCAATTAAATGTTAAGCAAATATTAGCTTGACCAGTTGGTAAATTGGTTTTATATATGCTAGCTAGCCTTGAGTCTAAATCCAATTTGCACCCACGGATTTAGGTTTTCAGGCGTGCTTTTATATATGTTTTTATTATAGTTATGCTGTACTTATTTCGTTGTATTAATTATATATGACTTGAGAAATAAAGCATGTGTACTGGAATAAGATATACATGTATATATGTTGGATCAAATACTATTTTATTAATGTATGGGCGGCCAACTGGAACCTCAAAAGATATATAGTTTAGGACCTTAAATAGATTTGCTTTCTCTTTTTACGCTTTAAGTTTGAATTTTGGAATTTATTTTTACCTTTTTAAATTTTTTTATCACTTTGATAGATCAGATCTAATTATATATATATATATCTTTTTTTTAAATAAATTTATAAAATAATTATTATACATATTACTAATTATTTTTTAAATATTATAAAATTTACGATATAAGTTAGACCAGAATCTCCTTGCGTGATCGTCCAAAATGTGTGCATGCACTGGGTTCAGGGTGCACTATTCCTTTTTTATATAGGATCCAAGCGGACCGGGCTTTTCTGCATTGGTCAAAAGGATTCGGAAGGTCCAATATAAAGGCTAACAGGCCAAATACAAATGTAGAGGAACAATTGGACTCCAGGCCCACAAATTTAATGTATTAGGGGAGTCCATAACTTTATTTTTTAAAACCATTTGTTGAATATTTACATGTTTGGTTTAATGGTAATTATGTGTTTTGTTGTTCAATGGTCTAGAATGTACTTCGTGTTTAATTAATTAAATAAATCAATTGGTTGGGTTTGCATATGAACTTCTATAATTGAATTTATATGCATAAATAATTTATTATATTTTCATGAACCATATATGCAGTCTTATTTAGTGGAAATAGATCATGTAATGGAAGCATGCACAAAAGATTGGGAGGTCTTTACGGGGACGGATATACAGCTTGCTTAATCTATATACTCATCTTCTTAATCTTGTGTGCTACTTTTAATATATAATAACAATATATTAATATTTATTAAATTACTGAATTGAGAGTATACGGTTTTTGAAGAATATATATGGCAGTACTTGAGGCATGGTAAATAAAAGACAGGCAGGTATGCAACAAATAAGGGTGAGCATAATTTTGATTAATTGAAAAATTGAATTAGATTATGTATTTCGATTCATTAAATTTATAAAATTAAAAACTGAACATGATTTGGTTTGGTTTTAGAAAAAAATTTTAGTTTCCATCAAAAATCGAATATATTGGAAACAAAAACTTAAAAAAAAGTTAAGTAAGTATTAATAAAAAAATTAAATTGATTAATTATATGTGAAGTATATAGTTATTAATTAACATATTTGTTCAAAATAAAAAACAGGAGGAGCACGTGTGATTGGAAGTCAAGCTGGGGGTTGATCCAAGTGAACTCTGGTCCTTTTACATGCAAAAAGTCAAAATGGCCCCGTTGTGCTTCCTAGCACAGCTGCGTTTTTAGAGATCCAAACCAAAACCAAACCACCACCACCCACCCACCCACCCCAACAACCAACCAACCAACCAACACAACACAACACAACAAACAACACAAAAAAAGAAAACTATAAATTAGTCCCTCTAGATTTACATAATAAACCAAATAATCCCTCTTATTTCAAAATTAATTATTTAGTCATTTAACCATGGTTAATTTAATGTTATTTTGTTAAAAAATATTCTTTTTTTAATCAATATTTTTTTACACATTCTTTTATTTATTAAACAAAACTGAAAAAGAATGAAAAGGATTAAGTTGAATCTAGAGAAACAATTTAATTTCTTTAAAAAAACTAAAGGGACTGATTTATAATTTACTCACAGAAAGTGTAAACTGATGAAGAATGAAGAGGCAGCGATTGGATTCAAGCTGGTCATCGTGGATTTCCACACTCTCCTTTCTTTTATTTTTCACCATATATATTAAAAAAATTATTTTGATTAAAACTGAATTTTTACAAAACCAAAATAATTCGATTTCAAATCGAATTTATTTTGATTTGATTTTGGTTTGAATTTTTTTAATTCAGTTAAACAAAAATCAAATCAAATTTATACAAAATTAAACCATTTAATCATCAAGTCCTACAAACATAATAATCTATACTTTAGTTCTAGACGTCTGCCGGTGATTATCAATTTTCAGCTCATTTTTTTAAACAATCAAATGTAAAAAAATCATTTTATATGAATTTCACTTTTCAATAAAAACAAAATAGATCAACATTATTTAATTATACTGATTAGGAGTAGGATTATTTTTATAATACCTTCAAATATTTATGATAAACTATATAAATTATTTTCAACGAAAAAAATTATAATTTGAATATTTAATTTTTTTATTTTTATTCTATAAAATATTTATTTATTTATTTAACTTCTCTTGATCACTTGACGTATTCATTGTCACGTAAAAAACATGCCACATAAGAAAATGTGAATCCGGCTCCTAATTATTCAGAACTTTTATGTTTTCTTTCAAGCCTTATGTAGCTAATACGGAACAAAAATGCATATGTTAGAGATCAATTAAAAGGAAAAAAAACTCTAAATTGTGAGGGGAGCACAAGAACCTAAATAAGAAAAATAATAACAAAATTACAATGAATGTTAATGCTCCTTGATGAAAATTGGCCTCTTTAAAATGGAACTAGATCACCGTCAGATATTTTTTGATGATTCGATCGGTTAATTAGGTAGCAACTAGGAAGAATGACAATAGTCCAAACAAAATAAACTATCAAATGTTATTAAATTCAACAATAAATAATTCTCTTAAAAAAATCAACAATAAATAAATTTTGATACCGATTATTAAGCAGGCCCTTTTTCTCTCAACAAAACGCATCTTTGTAAACTGCCATTAGTTACTTTTAGCCGGCGGCAATTTTTTTTTAATTGATTTTTTTCCTTTTTTTTTTTTTAATACAAATGAGATTTTTTTCTCTCCTTTTTTTTTTTTTTTTTGTTCATTTTCTGTTTTGAGGGCCACTTGTTTTGAGATTAAGTATGGTTTTTTTCTCGGAATGAGAGTTTATTGATATGTTATCTAATTTATAATAACAAAAAACTTGTCGATTTTTTTTTTAGGAAAAAAAAAGTCTTGATTTAGGAATCTTTGGTATGGTAAGTTCATAAAACTCTATTTTTTTCCGAGTAAATAGTGCATGAAAAAAAAATATAATAATAATATATATTTTTTTAAAATTGATCTCATTATCGTAAAAGAAACCGTGGAAGAAGTATAATAGCAGTGACTCAAGAATTTTTTCTTTAATTTTTATTCCTTATTTTATTACGAATTTCCTCTATTAGAATAAAATTATGCTTAGTTTTTATTCTTATTATTACTTCATTTCTTTTGATCAGATACTTATATGTATTTCTACGATTTTATTCTTTATTATCCAACTACACCTGATATTTTCTGATTTTTTTTTTTTGTTTGTAATGAATTTGATATTCATAAAATTAATATAATCCTAAAAAAAGCTCTAACTTACCTGTAAAATTGTCTTGTCTGGAAAATCACTTGGGTTCTTACAGTTTTCTTGAAGCCGTTAAACCTCAGCCAAAACCCTTTTCTTTCTTTCTTTCTTGCTAACGATGCTCTTTTGCAAAAAATGGCTTTCTTTGCTAAAATCCCTCAATTCGCCCTCTACCAAGACCTCCAAAACCTTGACTCCCACTTCCCCAGAACGCACAACCCCAACAAAACTTCTACTCTCTTTTTCAAACCCCAAAAGGCCCGCCTTTTCTCTTCTACACGAAATCCCCCTCGAAACTCACTCAACACAACAGCCACTTCTTCAATTACTACTCAAAACCCAACAAACTCAGGCCTGCTTCAACTATGTCTTATTGGGAACCTTGAACAAGCTCTAAAACACCTGGCTTCAATGCAAGAAGTTAAAATTCCGGTAGAAGAGGACAGTTTTGTTGCTTTGATAAGGTTATGTGAGAATAAGAGGGGATACAGTGAGGGTGAATATGTGTGGAAAGCTGTGTTGAGTTCATTGGTGACCCTTTTGAGTGTAAGGCTTGGAAATTCCTTGTTGAGTATGTTCGTGAGGTTTGGTGATGTGAGTAATGCTTGGAATGTTTTTGGGAGAATGGGAGAGAGGGATTTGTTTTCTTGGAATGTTTTGGTTGGTGGGTATGCAAAAGCAGGGTTTTTTGACGAGGCTCTGTGTTTGTATCATAGGATGTTGTGGGCTGGTATTAGGCCTGATGTCTATACTTTCCCTTGTGTTTTGAGGAGTTGTGGTGGGGCAATGGATTTAGTGAGGGGGAGAGAGGTTCATGCTCATGTGGTTAGATTTGGTTTTGAGGTGGATGTTGATGTTGTTAATGCTTTGATGACCATGTACGTAAAATGTGCGAATGTTCTTTCGGCTCGAATGTTGTTTGACAAAATGCCCACCAGAGATAGGATTTCTTGGAATGCAATGATTTCAGGGTATTTTGAGAACGAGGAGTGTTTGGAAGGGCTGGAATTGTTTTTCAGGATGCGCGAGCTTTCCATTGATCCTGATTTGATGACCTTGACAAGCGTGATATCTGCTTGTGAGCTTATTGGTGATGGAAGATTAGGGAGGCAACTTCATTGTTACGTCGTGAGAACAGCTTATGGTGGTGATGTTTCAGTGTATAATTCTTTGATTCAAATGTACTTGAGTGTTGGGCATTGGAAAGAAGCAGAAAATGTTTTCTCGAGAATGGAATACAGAGATATCGTGTCATGGACAACAATGATTTCTGGTTACGTGGATAATTTGCTCCCTGACAAGGCCTTGAAGACTTATAAAACCATGGAGATAGAGGGCACCATGCCTGATGAGGTAACAATATCCAGTGTCGTATCTGCGTGTGCTTCATTGGGGCAGTTAGATATGGGTGTGAAGCTTCATGAGCTTGCTGGGAGGACTGGGCTCATATTTTATGTTGTTGTTGCAAACGCACTCATTGATATGTATTCGAAGTGCAAACGCATTGACAAGGCTTTGGAAGTTTTCCATCAGATTCCTGACAAGGATGTGATATCCTGGACTTCGGTAATTAGTGGGCTTCGGATTAACAATCGGTGTTTTGAGGCTTTGATATTCTTTCGGCAAATGAAAACGAAGTCAAAACCAAATTCTGTAACATTGATTTCTGCCCTCTCTGCATGTGCTAGAATAGGAGCTTTGATGTGCGGCAAAGAGATTCATGCCCATGCATTAAAGACCGGAGTGGGTTTCGATGGATTTCTACCCAATGCAATTTTGGACTTGTATGTCAGATGTGGAAGGATGAGAGCTGCATTAAATCAGTTTAACTCGAATGAAAAAGATGTTGGGGCTTGGAATATTTTGCTAACAGGATATGCTCAACGAGGGAAAGGGGCTATGGTCGTGGAGTTATTCCGTAGGATGATGGAGTCTGAAATAAATCCCGATGATGTCACATTCATCTCTCTATTATGTGCTTGCAGTAGATCTGGAATGGTAACTGAAGGTTTGGAGTATTTCCAGAGAATGAAACTCAATTATCGTATCACCCCAAATTTGAAACATTATGCCTGTGTGGTTGATTTGCTTGGCCGTGCAGGGCAGTTGAACAAAGCTCATGAATTTATAGAGAGAATGCCTATAAAGCCAGACCCAGCCATTTGGGGAGCTTTATTAAATGCATGTAGGATCCACCGGCAGGTTTTGCTTGGGGAGCTTGCAGCTCAGCACATTTTCAAGGAGGATGCGGAAAGTATTGGGTATTATATTCTTTTGTGTAATCTCTATGCTGACAGTGGTAAATGGGATGAAGTTGCAAAAGTTAGAAGGACAATGAAAGAGGAAGGGCTAATTGTTGATCCTGGCTGTAGTTGGGTGGAAGTAAAGGGAAAGGTTCATGCTTTCCTTAGTGGAGATAATTTCCACCCTCAAAT